AATTTTAAAATTTTATATAGGTGATAAATACATGGTTATGTTTAAAGGGCTAACTCAGGAAAACATCGAAGTTGCTGGCCTAATTTAAAATAAAAAAAAAAAATTCATGTTTATTAACGGCATGCAAGTAACCTTTAGAAAGCAAGGAGTACCAGTAAACACTGTTTTTTTTTTTTTTTTTTTATTTAGAATTTTAGAGCGAGGGAATTCGTACCTGAATTAAAAAATTCTTCATTTTTATTAAAAATTATAATAAATTTTAATTATTTATAATAAAAAATAAATTTTTAAAATTTTATATAGGTGATAAATACATGGTTATGTTTAAAGGGCTAACTCAGGAAAACATCGAAAGTTGCTGGCCTAATTAAAAAAAAAAAAAAAATTCGTGTTTATTAACGGCATGCAAGTAACCTTTAGAAAGCAAGGAGTACCAGTAAACACTGTTTTTTTTTTTTAAACAGGATTTAGAATTTTAGAGCGAGGGAATTCGTACCTGAATCATTGAGCTAAGGGGATACACCTTATAGCTCAGTTTATAAATATTGAGTTATGAGACGCAGGTACCAATAAATGTTAGGGTTTTTTTAACAAATTATAATTATTTATAAATGTTAATTGGGAAATAGAGAAAGACATTTTGTAAGATTTGAATTCGTAACTCATAGACATTGAATGACTTTAACTCAAAATTCATATCACTAAACCAAAACAAACCGTTCTAATAAATATTGGTTTTTGATTTTTTTAGCAATGAAAGTTTTATATAAATTTTATAAGGTTTAGATAGTATTAAATTAAACAAGTAAATAAATATATATTTAAAATAAAAAATAATTAAATTTTTATGTAAATATAATATATAAAATTTATATATAAATACATTTTTATTTTATATATAATATTTCTAAGGTTCTTATAAAATTTAAATTATTATTAAATTACACAACAAAAATATTAAATAAAAAATAAAATTTTTAATATTAAGATCCATTTTTAATTTAATTATTTTTATTTTATAATTTAAAATAATTTAAATTATTTAAAAAAAACCCA